TGCCTCAGCCATCAGATGGGTTCAAGCAAGGCTATGGTTTCGCAGACTACCCCATTCCTTCCCTGCCCTGCCCTCTTTGTTCCTCTCAAAAGCCTTTACCATGCACAACTTCACTGGGTGGGCCCTGAACCTCCCTTTGGGAAGTGGAGGGTGCTGGAAGGCGTCTTGTGCCCACCCTGGAAGTCAGGCTATGGATGACTGTCGCTCCCCCTCTTCGTGGAGGAACGACACTGGACCCTGCGCTGTTCTTTCATCTGCTCGGCCCTCCCCGGGTTTGCTGCTGGTTCTTCCCGGGTTGGCTACTATCCCTTCCACCTCCGTGGAAGGGCAGTTCCCCCTGCCCACATTCCCCACTTCCGCAGGGGAGCGGCACACCGCCGGCCGGCTTTCTCGGGGGCTGCACAGGTGTTCCCCTTAGATGTTCCCCTTAGATGTTCCTGGTGCATGCTGTCTCTCTCCTCCTTTATAGTCCTCCTCCGCCAATCCCAACTCGGCTGCCCACACACCGAGTACGCTGCTCTCCAATCAGGAGCAAGTCCTACAGTTTATTGGTTGAACTGGAGGCAGCTGTGCGGAAGCTGTTTACTTCTCTCCCAGCGCCATATTGTGGGAGAGCAGATGCATAGAATAAGTCTTAATTCTAGTAACTCAGTCCATTCCGGGCTGCTCCCCACAGATCCCCCTTTCTTTTTATTTTTTGGCGTTGATACGCGCCTGTCTTCGGTGTCCCGTGGCACACACTCTGCTCTGCTTGCTAGAGTTGCCACAGGTTCTTACAAGTCCTATCAATCAGGCAAACCGAATCCGGGTCCTCTCTTCGCCATGTTGTGAGGAGGTTTTTAGGCGCTGATGCGTGCCTGTGTTCGGTGACCTGCGGCTCACACTCTGGTCGAGCCGCTTGCTGGTGCTTACCGCCTTAATCAGGCAGACCGAATCCAAGCCTCCTAATTGTTGTATTGTGGGGAGGCCTTACTGATGTTAATTCGTGCCTGTCTTCGGTGACCTGCGGCGCATAAGCTGCTAGCCGCCCGCAGGTGCTCATCGCCTCACTTAATCAGGCAGACTGAATCCAAGCTCTCACATTGCAGTGTTGTGGGGAGGCCTTATTGATGTTAATTCGTGCCTGTCTTCGGTGACCTGCGGCGCATAAGCTGCTAGCCGCCGCAGGTGCTCATCGCCTCACTAATCGGGCAGACCGAATCCAAGCTTTCTCATTGCCATGTTGAGGGGAGGCCTTATTTTTCTCTATTTCTCTATCTCCGGGCATTCCTATTTCTCCCATTTTACTTCTATCTTCCAGCATTCCTATTTCTCTCATTTTACTTCTAAACTTCTGTTTCTCTTATCCCTGCGGCTTCCCGGCGCCTCGCCCTGCCGGCAGGCTCCGCCCCGAGGCTGCTTCTCAGCGCCTCGCCGGCTCTGAGCCGCTTCAGCCCGCGCCTCTCTCATCTGCGCGGCTCGGCTTTGCGCGCAAACTCCGCGGTCTCGCACTTAGCCCAGCGTTCCCTATCTACTTGTGCCCCGCACGCTCTCTCTGCGCACGGCAGCCTCCGCGAGTCACACAGCGTCAGCTCACGTCTCCACCACTAACATTCAATCCAAGTTCCCCGGCTAGCCTGGCGAATTCAACCCAGCTCACGTCTCCGCCCCACGATCTGGCTTCCCGTCCTTTGCTCCCCGGGCTAATCAGACAGATCCCAATCTGGCTTACGTTTCTGCTTCTGGTTTCAACTTTTCGCCCCCTATTCCCGGGCTAACTTGAGAATCCCAAAGTGGCTTACGTTTCCGCCTCGGCCTGCCCCCCGCGGCTACAATTTCCCTAACATTTTTCTCTACCCGGTATGTTTCCCCAAGCTTTCTTCCAACAATACTCCTCCCTCATTTCTCCTGGCTTCTCCCCACAGTCCGTATCTGAGTCTGTTTGTTCTAGCTTTCACTTTCGCTTTCGACCTTAGAGATTTCTCCCAGCTTCCTCCCGTAGTCCGTATCTGAGTCTATGCCTAGGCTTTCAATAGCTTCCTCCGGCACCTCTTTCGTCCGGCTTTTCCCTAGGCTGTCTGCTAGTCTCTCTCTCCGGTATTTTCCCAGTTCTTCCCGTTTCTTCCCTCTTAAGTTTCCTATCCGTCCTAGGTTTCCTATCCGAGTCACGGCACCATTATGTCACTCCCCCTCTTCATGGAGGAACGACACTAAACCCTGCCTAGGCTTCATATCCGAGTCACGGCACCATTATGTCGCTCCCCGTCTTCGTGGAGGAACGACACTGGACCCTGCGCTGTTCTTTCATCTGCTCGGCCCTCCCCGGGTTTGCTGCTGGTTCTTCCCGGGTTGGCTACTATCCCTTCCACCTCCGTGGAAGGGCAGTTCCCCCTGCCCACATTCCCCACTTCCGCAGGGGAGCGGCACACCGCCGGCCGGCTTTCTCGGGGGCTGCACAGGTGTTCCCCTTAGATGTTCCCCTTAGATGTTCCTGGTGCATGCCGTCTCTCTCCTCCTTTATAGTTCTCCTCCGCCAATCCCAACTCGGCTGCCCACACACCGAGTACGCTGCTCTCCAATCAGGAGCAAGTCCTACAGTTTATTGGTTGAACTGGAGGCAGCTGTGCGGAAGCTGTTTACTTCTCTCCCAGCGCCATATTGTGGGAGAGCAGATGCATAGAATAAGTCTTAATTCTAGTAACTCAGTCCATTCCGGGCTGCTCCCCACAGATGACTTCTTCTTTTTTTTTTTTTTTTTTTAATTCTGTACCTACAGAATCTTTTGTTTTTGTTTTTTTGTTTTTTTTTTTTTTTTTGACAGGCAGAGTTAGTGAGAGAGACAGAGAGAAAGGTCTTCCTTTTTCTGTTGGTTCACCCCCCAGGTGGCCGCTACAGCCGGCATGTTGCAGCCAGCGCACTGTGCCGATCCAAAGCCAGGAGCCAGATGCTTCCTCCTGGTCTCCCATCGGGTGCAGGGCCCAAGGATCTGGGCCATCCTCCACTGCCTTCCCGGGCCACAGCAGAGAGCTGGACTGGAAGAGGAGCAACCGGGACCGAATCTGGCGCCCCAACCAGGACTAGAACTTGGGGTGCCGGTGCCACAGGCTGAGGATTAGCCTAGTGAGCCACGGCGCCGGCCTGGGCAACTACTAAAAACACTGAAATCCCATTCTGGGTGTGCATGGACACCACCTTCACTGAGGCCTCTGGGGAAGTTACTCGGCCTGCAGGTGCAGTCCCAGGATGGGGCAGGGGGCAGCCATACCCCAGGCACGTGCTGTCCCCTCCCGGCACCCCGTCTTCGCAGGCCCCACAGTCCATTGCACCAGGCCTTTCCAGTGGCGTCACCAGGCTCCTGATCCCCAGAGGCCATGAGGACCACAGATCCCCATAAGGCAACAGGCCCCCAGGAAAACTCTTGCCCCTGCCACTGCTCCCACTCACCTCCCCTTTACCACACAGCTCTGTTCCCCAAGGGGCTTGTGGGCCCCCACCCCTCAATTCCCAGACCCGGGACTTCATGAGCCAGACTCCAACCAGACTTCACCATTGACGTACTCACGAGTTGCCTCCTTTCAGTTATCATGGTCCCACTCAGGATGTAACCTTGTGCTGGGACAGCCTGGGTGCTTGGGTTATAGCTAGTGGCTGTTCCGTCTGTGCCCGTCTGGGGACAGGTGCAGGCGGACCTGGCCTACTATTCTGGCCTGTCCTAGGCTCTACCTTCCTTCCGTTTTCCACTAAGCTCTATGGAGCAAGGTTGCTCAGGGGTCCTGACCCACATGTCAGTAGAGCTGGCCCTGGTGCTGAAGTGCACCTGCTCCCTGTCTCCTCCATTAGCACAAGGTGGGTTAAAACAAGACCTGTCCTAGCAAGCGCCTGACTCCTGGCTTTGGATCGGCGCAGCGTTGGCCGTGGCATCCATTTGGGGGGTGAACCAATGGAAGGAAGACCATTCTCTCTGCCTCTCTCTATCTGTAACTCTACCTGTCAAATAAAAAAAAAAAAGGCAAGCCCTATCCTCTCCTGGGACCTTAATGAAGCTGCATCCCCTCAGGACCTGTCACCCACCGTCCACCTACAAAGCCTCAACTCAGCCTGGGAATGCCTCAATCCACCCGCAGTGGACTGCCCTCCAGCCACCTTTCACCTGAGCCTAGGCCCTGGTTATACGCACACCAGCCTCCATCTATACCCCAGTGCTGAGAGCTGCAGAGCAACCCACATTCTTGCACCTGTAGGGCTGGGCTTCAGATGCTGAGGCCAGTGGTCCCAGCTTTGCCAGTTTGCCTACTCTGACCAGCTGGAGACCCTCAGCCCAGCAGCAATGGGTTTTCACCTGTGCCTTGTGCTCCCATCCAAATGGGCTAAGGCTTGTTTTCCGCTGCAGAGAAGTCTGCCTTGCAACTGCAGGGGCCATTAATAAATTCAGTAGAGACAATTATCTGACCACTGCAGATCCACATTGAAAAGAATAGACGGCAGGTTAAATCTGAAATAACAGAATTGCTAATAGTAGCAGGGGGTGGGAGTGGGGAGTTACTGTAGGAGAGTAAGCTCATGGTACCCATTTTGCTGCCCATAACACTGGGGTCTAAAGACATTAGTTTTTAGTGGTAACTGAAATTCCTGAAGCAGACATTAAAAATGCACGATATCAAGAGTTTGAGGTGGGAAACTCTTTGATAAGTCTCCACAATATCAGGAGTTTGAGGTGGGAAAATGCCAGTTCTCTGTCCACTGAGGCTTTGGAGGAGAGATAGCTCTGCTTTCTCAGGTTAGAAGACATGGTTTCCCATGTGCATAGGAAAAATCTTGTTAACTTGGCCATATTTCCATTTCACCAAGAAGTTGAAAGTCCAGACTCACTCAGGTAGACTCTCAGCTGGTACCCCGGTTTTCTCTGGACAGTCATCAGAGCTTGTCCTGGTCCCCTTCCTGGCTTCTCCCATTCCCTGGGCCTCAGCAGTTCCCTGGAGCCTCTCTGGCTGCAACTGCCCACGTGGGTGCGTGTTGATGACCTGAGCCTCCCTTCCTCTTCAGGAACTCTCAAGTGCTACACAGCTCCCCATCAACATGGTAGCTGGCCTCCTAGGTGGGAACTCTTCTCCCCAACACTTCGTGCTTCCTTCCTGGGAAGGGAAGCCAACTGTTGTAACCTTGAGCAAATTTATGCCCTTGTAGAGGGTCAGAGAATATAGGTGATGCTGAAGTAGGGGAGAGTGCCAGGGCACACCCAGCCACTGAACACAGGAGTCTGCCTCCCTGTCAGTAGCAGCCCAAAGGCAGGCCTGTTTAGCTGTGCCTGCACTTGACTTTTGACCCATTTGTTCTGTGTAATCCTTTGGCCCCAAGTTTACTCTTTTTCTCCATCTGTGCAGAAGTCTTGTTACAGAAAGGTGCTGTATAATGGAGAACCCATGGGCCATCAGGGACCAGGTCACTCCGTGACCTCCCCACAGAGCCGTGAGGACATCCTAATGGGACCTGACAGCTGCTAACTGCAGTGAAGATGAGAGGCTGCCTGGGTTCTATGAAAGGAAGAATGGGAAGTGTTCTGTGCTATGCAACCAGGCCTGCCATGGCCAATCCAGTGCCACACAGGATGACTGGTACCCCTGGGGCAAAGAGCAGCTATCCATTGTTTGGGGACTTGATTGTCTCCTTTCTGTACCAGCTCTGCATACAGGAGGCATGTGTGCACTGTACCTCATGCAGAATCACTGCAAGTCTCACAGAAGAAATCTCATCTTTAATTCCAATAAACTTTGAAATAACATCAACATAAAGGAACATGCATCTGAGTGAAAATAAAACAGCAGCTAACCCTTTTATCTCTTAAATGATCAACCACATTTTCCAAACAACCTAATGCACAAAACCCACTATATATACAACATTTAGTACATCTCAATATGAACCCATAAAAATTTTTGTTTAACAAGAACCATAGCTCTGGGTTTACTTTAACTTGCAGTAGCCTAGAACACTCTCCCATGAGTGTTCTTCCTCTCTCCCCTGATGTTAACCACATCCTGCTTCATGTTCCATTAAGCAAAGGCCAGGTGTGGGGATTCCTCTAGTTATACGAGGGATGCAGATTTAAGGAGGTAGGTCAAGAGCATGAGCAGGCAAATAAATATTCCTTAAACTACTGGAACGAACAAGCTCAGGATTTGGAGAGAAAGTCTTTGTTGGTGCCTCTTGCAACTTCCATCATTCAAACCACGAGATATACCCTCTTCTTCCCATTGATGTTTCTGGTCTTCAGCCCCAGGTACTGCCGGCTCTTCTTCTCAGGCTGTCCATATAGCATGTCAGTGAAGAACTCAGGCTCATCTTTGGCCGTTGATTTGGGGGTCATTAAGCCACACATAGTCCTCAGCCTGTGACACAGGTAGGTCATAGCTTCCACTTCGTCTGATGGTTCCTCATATACTGGCTGCTTCATTTCCTCATAAGCAGACAGGATCACTGCCTGGAATAACTTGATCAAGATGCAGATGATCACCAGCATGAAAGATGAGAGGAACAGGACCCCAAGAACCCTGTTATGGGAAAACTCAGTGTTTTGAAAAGCTGAGATGCAGTAGGAGAATATCGTCTGAGTGGCGTGAATCAAGTGGCTGTAATTCCATTCGTGCTGACCAAATACGAGGTAACCAAGAACCATGTATACAAAGAAATAAATGGACACCAAAAGTGCTACAAGGCAGATGCCGGGAAGTGCGATCTGGATGGCCTTCTGAGCCAGGCGTACATCATAGAAGGCTCTGGAATATCTGAGGGTCTTCAAAATTGTCAGAAATAACAGGAAAGCCAAAGTTATCCTCATAGTGTGATCTACTTGAGAAACCGCATGAAAGGGAATGAAGTCTTTGGGGTTTGACAAGTAGAACTGAGTCACAGCTGTGGCCAAGAAATGCTTCCTGAGAAACAGCACAATCAACACAGTAAATATGCATTTTAAAGCCAAGTTGAGTAGATTGTACACACTTTGCACGTAGGAGGCTCTTTCTTGTATAATGACGTAGAATTCGCCAATAATGTAGGCTATGAAAAAAATGAGAATGGCCACATACAAGTAAATTTCTGTTGAAGTTTTCCGGTCAAAATCAGCAAGTGAGAACGAGTGCATAGATATGCTCGTGTTGACGACTCCTAACTGAGAGACCTCAAACAGGACAGAAATGCTACAGAACAGGTTCACGTCGGGATTAAAAGTCGTTAGTTCCAAAACCACAGCCCATGTCTTCTCATCAAGCCAACTGCTTCCTTGGAGTTCTCTGAGCCTCACTGTGGAATTAAACAGCTGCTCTGATGGAAAAAAATAGAACACATAGCCCCCTCCTCCATAGGTATGTAACAGCCCATAGGAATAGTACACCCATCGCTTTCCCTGCGGCTTGTAAGTAAACCCGGTGGTGTTCTTGCCTGTCTGCCGCTTGGTCACTTCATTCCAAAAGCTAGAATAGTTTTTTGTGTCTTCTGGGTCAACGCCATATTGGGGACGACAACGGATTTCTTTTATGTTGCTGTTCTGCACGAAGTTTGCGGTAGGCAGGCACATCTTCTCACCGGATTTTGCTCTCACTTGCCTCATGAGTGGAAGGCCTAGGATTTTGGATGAGCTGTCAAGGAGAAATGTTGGATTCTGGTCATTGTGGAACAAAGGCACCAGCACGCTCTCGAGCCACCTGTAGATGTCCTCCAGCTTCGTCACAGAAGCCAGGTCCACAGAGAAGCGATCACGAATAAACTGGTTGTAGTAGAAGCTGTCGGTGTGACGCAGCAGGACAATGAGCAGCAACAGAAGGACTAGGAAGATAAAGTGGATGAGGATGTAACTCAGAAACAGGAAGGCCCTCCTCTTGATCCTCTTCTTCCTTTGGAATATTCTGATTTCATCTTCTGTCAGGGGTTGGTACATCCTGGACCCTTGGATTTTAACGATGTGCTCGTGCAGCTTCTTCCTCTCATCTGGATTCATTCTTGTGCTGGGGAGCAGCAACTGAATGTAACGATACTTGGTGGACCACGGGATGTTTTTACAATACTTCGGCCACATTGTTCGGAGGCCTGACACCAGTATAATTTTACATGGCTGTTCCACAAAAACTGACATAAGGAATGAACAAAAAGAGGCAAAGAGCCATTCTATCGACTTGTTGTAGCTATAATTCAGTCCGTAAAAGATGATAAAGAAGGCAGATATGCTGGAAGTGGCAAACACCAAGAACCATGCTATGTACAGGCACCACGGAGGCAGTACGATCTGCGGCTTTTTTTCAAGTTGTTCTTCTTCTTCGGAAGAAGTTGCTCCGGTATAAACATCTTCATTTTCTGCTACATTTTTGTTACTGAAGTTTTTATTGGCTGGATGGACCTTAGTGTCCTTGGTTTCTTCTGTCACATGCCTGGATACAGATTTCAAGGTTTTCTTTGCAGAAGCCTTGGGCCGTGCAGGCTTCCTCTTGGATGTGGGCTCTGCCTGGGTTTTGGTCTTCTTGTGGGATGCAAGCTTGACAGGCTTCTTGGAGCCTTCCTCAGCAGTCTCATGAGCATGCCACTTGTTCAAACGATCATCCCAGTAAGCACTCTCTTCTGACATAACAGGATGCATGCGAGGAGCTACCTTATCTAGATCCACCTGATGTTTCCTCTGAGAATTGATGAACAGAATTGTTATTAATAATACCAAAGGGACTGTAATTAGGGTACTTATAATCCCTATGGACATTGATCTGAAGTAACGCAACTCATTTGACACTGTTTCTTCCTCTTTTGTTAGATTAAAGAACATAATATTGCAGAAGAGAGCACTTAGCAGCAATGCTAAACAACAGGACAATCTTTGGAGCCTGTTGAATGATTTAGAAACAACACTAGCAAAAATAGAGAACCACAAGTGGTTTCTCCCTAGCCTATAAGAAACATCTATCAGAAAGAAGTCCCTTTTTCTCAGAGGCTGGTCTGGTGGGGTAACCTGAAACGTCCTGTCCGTAGTGGTGTCAACAGAAAGCCAGATCCTGCACATGAAAAGCCAGATGTGTCTGCTGAATAGATTTTCCACCTTGATTCGACTTAAATACCAGCTAGGCGATGTGCCTTCATTGTTGTGCCAGACACGAATGGAATGGATGTCCCCCAGGTCACTTTTAGTTGTTAGGAGGAAAGTGTTGATGCTTCCCCGGTACAGAGTGGTAAAACTAGGGTGGCTTAAACAATGTGTACTACTGGCACCCTCTGTTCCAATAAGCTGAATAAAGACATTGGACCTGGTCCCAGATCCCCATCGACTTCCTGTGAAAACAGTGACCAGGTAGCATATTTTGTCATAAGGATCATTATCAGGTAGAATTATTATATACTCTCGAAGATATTCATCCATTTCATCCCTGTGCAGGGCCCAGAAAGCTAGGATGATGTATATGAGCAAAATGAAAAGCACAGTGATGAGAGTAATAAAATTAAGGCTAAGGTTCTTTAACCACAGATCCACAGGATTAGGGAACACAGTGACATTGGACGTCAAGTAGTGGGTATGCAAGTCAGTCTTGGCTAGCTCATTTATCCTCAGGTGCCGCTTGGTCCTCCCCATTTTCTTGCAGACACAGTGCACTCTCTGCCAGGTGGTCCCCTCACCGAGGCTACAGTAATCTTCTCTCCAGTCACTCTGGATCTGGTACATACCCAGGCAGTGGGCACTGAAAAGAAAAATTTTCACAAGCTTGTTATTGGGCTTCTGGACGAAACGAGGTGCCTCCAGCATCATGATTATGGCACATGTGGGCGACTGGCTATGCTGAGCTATGACTTGCAGCAGGGACGCTGGGAGGCAGATCACACGGGCCTCCTTAACTGCACAGTCAGGGTCAAACTGGTCACTCTGGTTGGCAATTGGAGGGATGTCATAAGGCACGAGGAAGGTTGTGACCAGACCAGTGGGGGTGACCCGACTGCCTGCGTACACCAGCACCTTGAACAACACAGTCACTTCTGTCACAATGTGGACCAGCACCTCCGTAACTTCTCTGTGGTCCACTTCAAAGCTAAACCCCCCTGTTGTCTTCTTCGAGGACTCGCTGACCTCCTCGGGTCCCACTGTGAGATTAAAAGCTGCAAAAGTCAAGTTTTTCCTGTTGAGGTACACGTCCACCACACTGGGCGTGATCTCTATCGCATCCCCATTTTCAGCAGCTCCATACATTCTGAAACCAACCACCTGGGTTGAAATTTTTTCTGGATGATGTAACCAAGGAAAGGGGTCGTCTGCAAACTCACAAAACATTGTAGAAACTACAGCCTTTGCGGGCAGACCAGGAACTGTGCTCCCATTGAGTGTTGCCTGAAAACAGTTTGGGCAGTCTTTCTTGTTTCTGAAGACCTGGGTCACATTCTGCTTCTCAGCTTTCTCCAAAAACATGTTAATGCTGGCACTCTTCATTGCTGTTTTATTCCCTGGCAACATACAAGCCAGTATGGTGTCTGCCAGTGATTCTGCTAGGTGGAAAGGATCTTCCACCACTTCGTGAGGAGCAATCTGTTTCAGGATATTAGACAAACTTGTTAATATTCCAGTGCCTATGATTTCTATTTGTTCACAGCGAAAGTGTTTATCTTTCCGTCGATACTCTTGTAGGCCTTGATTTGCTTGCCACATCCTCACTGTGGCACTTTTCTGGGCAGTTCGAGTGAATTCAGAGGCTTTCTGGGTTAATTTGGTAACAGTCACGACTACCTGGTTGATTTCCTCCAAAGTGCTCACCGGAAGAACAGAAGACTGATTGAAAAGGTGATCTCTGAGCCCGACTTTGTCACCATGGAGAGTTGATTCAGTTTTCATGCTATTCAAAACAGAACCCATTACATGCATTAAGTAACCTGAGGATAAAAATTTCTGGTCTCGAAGCAGAACAGATAGCGATGAATTTGGTCCCATGGTAGAATTGAGTAACTGATCCAACACCATCTTGGATGAGTTTTTACTAGTGGGAGGCTCTACAGTGGCGCCCAAAGTCACCTGAGAAAAAGCTCCTAGAGAGTCATAAACCTGAACAAATATCCTCAGTTTGTAACCATCAGCTGACACACCAACAGGGAGAAAGGAAGGGGGTGTGGTAAAGTCTCTCCCAAAGTGCAAGATGGGCCCCAAGGTGTTCTCTTTTACTGAACTGATTTCTGCAATGCCTTCCAAATCAGAAACTATCATTTTATATGTAAGGGGGGTGTGCTTATCTGTGAAATTGCTACACCGGACAACAAATTTAGTAACAAATGCAATTCCTTTAGCTGGTTTCACTGTGCATTCTCCTGTTTGAGGACCATGGTTAAGAATAATGGGATGCTTGAATTCCAGGGTCTTCCCACCCCAACTGGTTACTTGCACAGAAACCCAGTAATTTGCTTCCAAACAATGACTGAAGGCAAAAGCTTTTGCAGACAAATAAGCACCATTTCTCCCTGTTACAGTTTGCCCCATCCAATCAAGTGGCATCTCAGCTCCTGACTCAGACACAATTGACCAGTTATAGAAGTCACTGCTTACACAGTCCGTGCAATTTAGGTACAAAGAAAACCGATCTGATACAATTAAATTGCTGCCACAATTCTCAATACATGAAATGTGTGCCAAAGGAGATGGTCCTTGGAGCACATTTACCGTTTTATCAGAAAATGCTCTTCGGCCACCCTTCTGTATCACCATTCTGAAGAAATATTCACGGCCCCCTTGAAGCGTTCCTGGGGAAAGTGTTAGCACAGGGTTAGAAGCTTGTGGCCACCTCAGATCAGCCTGGTCTGGGTGACACACGTCCTTGCTTGCCACTTGTATCTGATCTCCATCGTAGTTCTTTTTATTTGTGGTACAGTACCAGGTAAAACGGAGCCCCTGCAATTTGTTGCTTTCTTCCGGGTCAGAGGACATGCTTCCATCCAGAACCACCTCATCTGTATAATTAGCTTTGATGTTGGCGTCTCCACCAATAACTGCGACCAGGGGGCTTCGCACTATCCAGACATAGATGGAGTCCGAGTCGTAGAGCCGAGGAACTGTGGGATCCCGTGTTAGGATGGTCACTGAGAAATTAAACAAGTACACCCCCCAAGATAGGGACGCAGGGGTGATGTGGATGATGGTGGGGATGTTTGCTTTCGGGAAATGACGCACATCCAAAGGCTGATTCCAGTCGGGCACATCGCCCACCGCGGGCACCGAGAACACCAGCCATCTTTGGGTGAAGATTTGGAAGACTGGACAGTGCATGTTGATGGTGGCATTGAGGGTGTCCCCTTCATTCCTGGTCAAGCGCACAGCAGTAACGCCTGCGTCCCTGTTGATCCTCACCTGATAGATTACGCAAAATTCCATCTGACAGGAAGACTGCACTATGACTTGGCTGGACGAATTCACGGCTTGCAAGACAACAGGCACCGGCCCATCTGTGGGATACCGCGTTTGCGCCACAAAGCCGGTGTGGGCGCGCGGGAGCGCAGGCAGGACCGAGCGAGGCTTTAAGCGCTGGGCCCGGGCGGCGTGGCGGGCCGGGCGGGCGTCCCCAGGCCCCAGCAGCCCCAGCTGGAAGGTCCAGGCCAGGGGCCCCAGCGGGCGCCTCAGGGGCAGCGGCAGCAGCAGGAACCAGGCCAGGGCCAGGCGGCCCCCGGGTGCTGCCAGGTGCAGGGCGACGGGCGGCGGCGCCGCGAGTCCCGGCAGGCAGCGACGGGTGCGGCGCCGGACCCGCACGCTGAGGCGGTACCAGCCAGGCGCGGCCGCGCGCCGCGGGGCACCGGAGAAGCAGAGGCCGCGGCTGCGGCTCAGGAGGGCGCCGCCCCCCGGGGCCGGGAGGCGTGGCAGGCTGAGGCGGGCGTGGCGTCCGCGGAGGGCGCCTCCGTGGAAGTGGCCGCATGGCGGGGCCGGCCACCCGGGGCCGGCGGTGCTGGACTGGCGCGGAGCCGGAGCTGGAGCCGGTGGCAGGCCGCCCAGGCCCAGGCCCAGGCCCAGGCTGAGGAGGAGGACCGCTGGCCCAGCCCGCATGGCGCCGCCCTTGGGAGCCGACGGTCGCGGGGTGGCCCAACGGCCGTGGGCTCGCGCGGTCGGGGGCCCAGGGGTCCCAGTTGCGGAGGGCGTCCTGGGAACAAGGAGCCTGCGCAGGCGCCTGGGTCGCCGGAGGTCCCGCGGCAGCGGGGGTCTCTGCCAAAGGGACCGGGCCTTGGTGGGTCCAGCGGGTGGGAGACCCCACCTCTCTGTTCCCACCGAGTGTGGACCCATGAGTAGAGGCCCCCTGCGCGGGTTCCCGCTCCCAGCGTCGCACCGAGCGTGAACCCGGGGTTCCCAGGAAGTGGGAGGCAGATGAAGATGGAGGCAGTTTTTAGGGAACAGCAGAGGGAGAGCAGCGGGGTGGGGTGGGGGTGCTTCTTCAGACGCAGGAAGCTGTGGAGAGGACGTGACTGGGGTTTGTACCCCTGGAAAGCCTGGAGGAGGTCCTTTAAGAACAGCGTTTGCTGTGTGAGGAGCTCGTTCCGGCTTCCTGTGTCCCTTTCCCGCCGTTTGGCCCTGACTCACAGGCAGAAAGAAGCGCCCTCTCGGGGCCCACACGCCTGAGGGCGGCACAGGTGCTCCAGCCACCTGGCACCAGGCCTGCTGGGCTCCTGAGGAATCAGCCAAAGTCTTCACGTCTCTTTCGTGACCACACTTGCTTTCTAGCTCAGGCAGGGTTCCCAGCTAGATTAAGCCTCATTACTGAAGGGCCCTCTTTGTTCTGTCTTTGACAGACTCGTTTCACCGGGGCAAACCAGTTAGGAAACTGGAAATCAGAGGGGCTGTGAGGCCAGACTCGGGTTTACTGGGCTCGGCCTCTTCTGGTCTCTAAGGGTGAAGGCTCACATCATTCATGTTGGTTCTAGCTTTGCTGGGAAGAAGGGGTTTCAGGAAGTTCACGGACAATGCACATTTGAATTCTTCAGAAATGTTTAACACTTTTTAAGTTTAAAGCAATGCAAAGAAATTGTTTGTTTGTTTGTTTTTGACAGGCAGAGTTAGACTGTGAGAGAGAGAGACAGAGAGAAAGGTCTTCCTTCTGTTGGTTCACCCCCCCAGATGGCTGCTATGGCTGGCACACTGCACCGATCCAAAGCCAGGAGTCATTTGCTTCTCCTGGTCTCCCATGTGGGTGCAAGGCCCAAGCACTTGGGCCTTCCTCCACTGCCTTCCTGGGCCACAGCAGAGAGCTGGCCTGGAAGAGGAGCAACCGGGACAGAATCTGGCGCCCCAACCGGGATCAGAACCCAGGCTGCCGGCGCCGCAGGTGGAGGATTAAAGTGAGCCCTACACTGGCCCAAAGAAATGTTTTAAAAAGCTGTATGCCTGTCAAACAATAAAAATAAAAACTGTATTTATGTTGCTCGCACTGTGGCGCAGCAGGTTAATGCCCTGGCCCAAAGTGCCAGCATCCCATATGGGCTCCGGTTCTAGTCCCAGGTGCTTCTCTTCCAATCCAGCTCTCTGCTAGGGCCTGGGAAAGCAGTACAAGAGGGCCCAAGGACTTGGGCCCCTGCACCCACATAGGAGACCCAAAGGAAGCTCCTGGCTTCAGATCGGCATAGCTCCAACCGTTGTGGCCATCTGGGGAGTGAACCAGCGGATGGAAGACCTTTCTCTCTGTCTCTAACTCTGTAACTCTGTCTTTCAAATAAAATAAAATAAATCTTAAAAAAAACTGCATTTATTAGACACAGCCCCTATCCACTGGTTCACTCCCCAAATGCCCTCACTGGCTGGGATTGGAGACTCAATCCAGGTGTCCCACTTGGGTGGCAGGAACCCAACCACGTGAGCCATCACTCTTGCCCCCCAGCATCTGCACTGGACTCTGGAGTCAAGAGCCCAAGGCAGGACTCAAACCAGGCTCTTACCAGAGTGCGGGGGTCTTAACCACTAGGCCAAACAGCTGCCCCCCCAAGACCTTTTTGAAGTGTGCTTGAATGTTATAAATTGGAGGGTTCAGTTAGGGGAGGTAGCTGGTAGTGTTGCTCAGACTCCGTCTTTTCTGGGTTTTGTCTGTTATTTGCTGACAGGCTGGTTTCTTGCTGTGATTGTGAAGGTGTCTCCTTTGTTCTTTAGTCCTGTCCCTTTTTGCCGCATCTTTGGGGCTCTGTTATGTGTAACATATTTGTGGTTATGTCTTCCTGGTGAATTTCCCTTAATTATTTCTATCTTGATAATAATCTTGGTTTCAAAATCTTTTCTACCAGATAGTAAAAGAGCCACACTTGCTCTCTTATGCATTCTGGTTACGTTGGAGATATATTCATACACACACACACACACACACACACACATATATATATATATATAGTCATTCTTTTACTTCCAACATGCCTTTACATTTAAAGTGGTCTTTTGTGGACAACATTATTTTATTTTTTTATTTTACAGAGTTAGTGAAAGAGCAAGATAGAGAAAAAGGTCTTCCTTCCATTGATTGGTTCACCCCCAAAATGGCCACTATGGCCGGAGCTACCGATCCGAAGCCAGGAGCCAGGTGCTTCCTCCTGGTCTCCCATGCTGGTACAGGGGCCCAAGCTCTTGGGTCATCCTCCACTGCCTTCCCGGTTCATCTAAGAATGCTGGACTGGAAGAGGAACAACCGGGACTAGAACTTGGTGCCCATATGGTATGCCGGTGCCGCAGGCAGACGATTAACCAAGTGAGCCATGGCGCCGGCCCTGACAACATTATTATTATTTTTTTTTTTGACAGGCAGAGTGGACAGTGAGAGAGACAGAGAGAAAGGTCTTCCTTTTGCCGTTGGTTCACCCTCCAATGGCCGCCGCGGCTGGTGCGCTGCAGCCGGTGCACCATGGTGATCTGATGGCAGGAGCCAGGTACTTATCCTGGTCTCCCATGGGGTGCAGGGCCCAAGTACTTGGGCCATCCTCCACTGCACTCCCTGGCCACAGCAGAGAGCTGGCGTGGAAGAGGGGCAACCGGGACAGAATCCGGCGCCCCGACCGGGACTAGAACCCGGTGTGCCGGCGCCGTGAGGCAGAGGATTAGCCTAGTGAGCCACGGCGCCAGCCGACAACATTATTTTAATAGAGTTTTAGTTTTTCTCCCTGTCAACCTTTTGAGTATTTATAGCACCACCATTTAAAGTAATGATTGGGGGCTGGCACTGTGGTGCACTAGGTTAATCCTCCACCTGCAGCGCTGGCATCCCATATGGGTGCCAGTTCTAGTCCCGGTTGCTCCTCTTCCAGTCCAGAGTGTGGACGTTTAACCACTAGGCCAAACAGGTGCCCCTCCAAGACCTTTATGAATTGTGCTTGTATGTTATAAATTGAGTTTTCAGTAGGTGAGGTAGCTGGTAGTGTTGCTCAGACTCCGTCTTTTCTGGGTTTTTGTCCTTTATTTGATGACAGGCTAGTATCTCTTCCTATGACCATGAAAATACCTTTTTTCTTTTTTTAGCTTTGTTTTATCTATTTATTTATTTTATTTTGACAGATAGAGACAGAGAGAAAGCTCTTCCTTCCTTTGGTTCACGGAAGCACTTGGGCCATCCTCCACTGCCTTCCCAGGCCACTGCAGAGAGCTGGACCGGAAGAGGTGCAAATGAGGCTAGAACCCAGCGCCCGTATGGGATGCCAGCACCGCAGGCGGAGGATTAACCAAGTGAGCCACGGCGTCGGCCCCTGTTTTATCTATTTAAAAGACAGAGTTACCAAGAGCGGTAGAGCTAGAGAGCGAGAGGTCTTCCATCTGCTAGTTCACTCAATAAATGACTGCTATGGCCAGAGCGGAGCCAATCTGAAGCTAGGAGCCAAAAGCTTCTTCCAGGTCTTCCATGCGGGTCCAGGGACCCAAGGACTTGGCCTTGTTCTACTGCTTTCCTAGGCCATAGCAGAGAGCTGGATCGGAATTGGAGCTTCCAGGATTCAAACTGGTGCCCATATGGGATGCCGACGTTGCAGGCTGGGGCTTTAATCTGTTGTGCCAGAGCACTCGCCCCTCCTTTGTGCTTTGGTGCTGTCCATTTTTGCTGCATCTCTGGGGCTCTCTTAAGTAACACATTTGTGGTTATGTCTTCCTAGTGAATTCCCCTTAATTATTTCTATATTTGATAATAATCTTAGTTGCAAAATCTGTTTTACCAGATAGAGAAAGAGCTACTCTTGCTCTCTTATGCTTACTGGTTGCATTGAAGATACATATATAAATGTCTTTTAATTCTTTTACTTTCAAATATTTGTGCTTTTACATTTTTTAAAACTTTTATTTAATAAATATAAATTTTGAAAGTACAACTTTTGGATTATAGCGGTTCCCCCCCCATAACCACCCTCCCACCCGCAAACCATCCCATCTCCTACTACCTCTCCCATTCCATTCTTCATTAAGATTCATTTTTAATTATCTTTATATACAGAAGATCAGCTTAGTATATACTCAGTAAAGATTTCAACAGTTTGCACCCACACAGACACATAAAGTATAAAGTACTATTTGAATACTAGTTTTACCATTAATTTGCATATTACACTTTAAGGACAGAGATCCTACATGGGGAGTAAGTGCACAGTGACTCCTGTTGTTGATTTAACAATTGACACTCTTATTTATGGCATCAGTAATCACTCAAGGCTCTTGTCATGAGCTGCCAAGGCTATGGAAGCCTCTTGAGTTCACAAACTCCAACGTTATTTAGAGAAGGCCATAATCAAAGTGGAAGTTCTCTCCTTCCTGCAAGAAAGGTACATCTTTCTTTGATGGCCTGTTCTTCCACTGGGATCCCACTCACTGAGATCTTTCATTTAGGTGTTTTTTGTTTGTTTGTTTGTTTGTTTGTTTTGTTTTTTTGTTTTTTGCCACAGTGTCTTGGCTTTCCATGCCTGAGAAACTCATGGGAATTTTAGCCAGATCCAAATGCCCTAAGGGCTAACTCTGAGGCCAGAGTGCTGTTTAGGGCATCTGCCAGTCTATGAGTCTGCTGTGTATCCCACTTCCCATGTTGGATCGTTCTTTCCTTTTTAATTCTATCAGTTATTATTAGCAGACACTGGTCTTGTTTATGTGATCCCTTTGACACTTAATCCTATCTTAATGATCAATTATGAACTGAAACTGATCATTTTAACTAGTAAGATGTCATTGGTACATGCCA